CGGGAGGTGGTGCCAAGGCGGGCGCCAGCTGTGGAACAGAGGCGGGGGTGGGGCTTAAACGACGATCTCTCTGCTTTTCCGTTAACGCTCCGGAGTAGGAGCGGCGCTCCTGAACTTTCTGCCGCCGCCGCCGCCGCCGCAGGTGCCCAAGGCTATGTCCCTGCCCTGCTTCAGTGCCAAACGTCAGAGCCCCAGATAGCTTACAGGGGCTGGACCCTGGAGCAGAAGGTTTGCCTGGTCACTGGAGGGGCTGCACGTCCTGGCTTGTACTCGTGGAAACAGGGCCTGTTTTGGGGGGATGCAGGCTAAATGGGTTAGCATGTTGTGCCATCCGGTCTCCAACACAGCCTCCATCACAAGACGCATCAGCTGGAGAGAACATGGTGAAACTTACTTTTGGACCAAGATGTATCAAATAACCTTGTAAAACAGCTACATTATATTACATGTATGTTTTTAGCACATTTATAGCCTACCTTTTTTGCTGTGAAGAACAATATTTCTTCATCTCACATTTTATTTTATCTTCACAATCCAGGTAATTCTAGCTAACATCAGGAGATAGCTGGCTGGAAAGAGAACAAACCATAATTACAAGTGAGGCCCCCAGTCTGGTTTTCTGATCTGTGGCTAGCATGATTTATGAATCCCATCACGATAGCTTATGTATCTACTGATTTATAGCTTACTGTGACTACTGCTATTTGTAGTTTAATAAACCATGGTTAACAAATATTATGACTTGGCACAAAATATGAATCGGCTCTTGTAGCGGTGTTTGCCCACCACTAGTGTTGAAATCTCATATCCAAAAAGGTTTGCCCACTACGGATATAATCGGTACACGATCCTTGTTGTGATCACCACATGGGTACGTACGTTCCAGAGGTAACCGTCAACCATCAGTCGAGCACCCTAACCCATGGGGGTGGGGGAAATTAAGGCAGCCCAAAGAAGTGGGCATAATCGATTGGCGCATGAAACTCACCAGCACGCAAAAACGGAACAAGAACCCACGATTCCTAAGTTACTTGATCACATCCTGAAAAACTTCCAGAGTTTAGCACATCTCTGTTTGGAGTTGCTCTTGCACTGGGATTGCACTTTTGCTCATGTGGTCTAAACTGGATGGAAGTAAGGATGGGGGAAAACCCTGTGTTTTATAAATCAAACCCTAGTGTGTCTGTTACATTTTTTTTTTCCTTGCTAGTGTTCAACATGCAACCAAATACAATAAACTGGTGTTTTATTCTTTCCAGTGTTGTCCAAACTTGGCCACTTTAAGATGAGTGGACTGGGGAATTCTGGGAGTTGGCTAGGGAATTCTGGGAGTTGAAGTCCACTCATCTTAAAGTGGCCAAGTTTGGACAACACTGTTTTATACATTAAAATTGAGATGTGTTGCCTCCTGATGAGTAACACATAAAGGGGTGTCTTCCCTTGCCCAAGAGTGTTTAAAGAGGAAGCCATTTATGTATAATGAATCCTGATTTGGCTCCAGATCCTTTGCATTCTATTTTGTATTTTGCATCATCTGGACATGTGGCCATCATTCCCTACTTCTGCAATAAGAGAATGTTGTCCTTTTCTAGGTTTTTCAGCAGATTAGTGTAAGAAGCAAGGGTGCCATATTGAAGTTAATTCACCCAATGTAATTCCTTTGCATCTTTAAAAACACAACCCAGAAAAATCACACTTGCCCATTTTGATGGTTTGCTGCCAAGTCAAATCTTGACAGTATGGTCTGGGATTGCAAAAAACGACAACATCAACAACAAACAAACAAAGGCTGGAGGGGAAGCTGGAGCAGAATAATTTTTCAACCAGTTCCTTTACAGTGGGCCCCACAAGCCTTCACACCAAATTCAGGTAAGGGGTTCTGCTAAAGCTCTGCTGATCACTGGCAGCAGAGAAGGGACTCTGTCCATTTTACTTGTGCTCTTCCAGACACAAGAGCCTTTGAAACATGTGATGGTACAAACCCCAGGAACTCCTTGGGCTCGGATGCTCGCTGGGCTGGCAGGCAGCAAGGAGAGTTGTGTCCCAGCTTGCAAGAGGCTGATTTTATCTAGGAGTAAAGGGAAGGGCTGCAAGCCAAGGTCCAGGGATGCCTGCTTGGAATGTAGCTCCTGGTGACCAGTCATTTACAACACCCCTCATTCTTTGCGCAATTAACTTGTGGGATGTAATTGAAGTGGCAATTGCAAACTTTTAACCAAAGTTATATTGTGCGCTAATCAGGAATGGAAAGATTCATGTCCCACATAGGTAAAGACTGACTAAAATCCCTGTTCTCCCAAAGTATAATAAGAGGGTTGACAGAACCCTTCCCTGCCTATTGTGTCTCTGCATGAGTCAGCGTTAGAGATACGTATCATCATTGGGAAATATGTCCAGAAGAATTGTGCAAAAACACAGGAGTGGCATGGATAAGTTCCTTCCAGAGATGGAAACAGTGTCATTAGTACAACTTAATTCAGGTCCACTTCTGTAACTCAAAGCAGACCCAGGATTTGATTCCAGTGTTTGTTTTGGATTGACTGATTGATTGGGAATCTGTATATGGCCACCTATCTTATATATATAATGAAGGGTGGCTAAGAGTAATTTATTTATTTTTATTGTGCCTTTGAACTGTGGTGCTGGAGAAGACTCTTGAGTCCCCTGGACTGCTAGGAGGTCAAACCAGTCAATCT